CTTTGTGAAACACTATGTACAGATTATGTGTATATTTACTTATATTGGCAATATAACAGTAAATTCACACTACACCTAGAACACACCACAGAGAGAGACTTTTCCCACTCTGCTTTAGTAATACGCTCTCAGCTAAACATTTCACTTTAGAAAAATCTGCATCGATTTTACACCGACCAAACACAGTACACTGTGAAAAGGGTTTTTCCTTTCCCCAGATCTACCTTCTTCGAAACTTTCCAAATACAGCCAGACTAACCTGCAACAGATAATAATCCACAGCTTTCCCAGTGTCCTTTATCCACCAAATGCCTCATCTGGGGAAAACAAGTCTGACTACAATGAGATCCATCCACAGCAGCTTACAATACTTAAGATGATAAACACAGGACGTCAAGACAGGTAATTTTCCTCAAACAGTGCACTGCTAAAAATAAAGAGCTGAAACCACACGGCCACCAAGGGCTTACCCCTGACCCGCCCATCCCCGTAATAAAGTGCATGTCCCCTTGAAAGACAGATGTCTACTGTCTGGGGCCTTCTCATTCTGCTTTGCGCTTCAATCCAGGGATTTTTGCTTGGATTTTGGCCATGGCACCCTTAACGAACTTATTTGCAGGTCCTAGATAATGATCTATCTGTGCCTGATGCCATTTATAAATAACAGGAATACTGATGAATGCCATTCATAAATAACAGGAATACTGATGAGTGAGATCAGAGCTCAAATCAGTACTGTCAAACCACTGAACAAGGCACTAACGTAGGTAAAGACCTACATCAACACTGCAAACTTCAGGGAATCAGCTAAATCATCAACTAAAAAGAGGCGCCTCAGTTCTTTTATTGTGCTGTTCACATGACCAAGAGCAGAATTACTGTATTTCTGAACCAATTCCTCTGATACAGCAACTTCAGACTCCAAATATGCCCAGAATGGGTGGCCTTCATCTGATTTCTGGATAGCTTGGATCACACCCTTATATATCCTAAAGCTGATAGTCACACAGAGCAGGGCCAAGGCAATGTAGGCCGTCACACTCACAATGCTGAACACTGCCAGAGACAGAAGCAGGAATATGCTGGCACCAAACATCGCTCCAGTCTTCAGTCTTCTTTTTTTTTTAAATCTATCTATTTATTTATTTATTTATTTATTTATGTGAGTACTCAGTAAACTGTCACTTTTTTCAGATACATCAGAAGAAGGCATCAGATCCCATTACAGATGGTTGTGAGACACTATGTGGTTTCTGGGAATTGAACTCATGACCTCTGGAAGAGCAGTCAGTGCTCTTAACCCCTGAGCCATCTCTCCAGTCCCACTCCGCCCCACTCCAGTCTTCTTAATGTCTCTCCAGTAGAGGAGGCCAACCACTGAAGTTTTACTCAGCTCTGCTGACAATACAGCAGTCAGGGATCTGTCCTCTTTCTCTGTATCAGAAGGAAGTTCTTTCTCTGCTTCTTTCATAAGTACTTGGGGTTTAACTATGTTGCCCGTTTCTGTTTGAGGTTCCAAAGCAGAAACATTTGGAGGCAATAAGGACACCTTTGATACACTGGGCCTATTTTTGGAGAATTCATATGAGACATGTACTTCATCTTTAGGATATATATTCTTTTTTGTTTGTTTGTTTGTTTTTTCAAGACAGGGTTTCTCTGTGTAGCCCTGGCTGTCCTGGAACTCACTCTGTAGATCAGGCTGGCCTCAAACTCTTGAACTCAGAAATCCGCCTGCCTCTGCCTCCCAAGTGCTGGCGATTTTGTCTTCCTTAGAAGAAAGTAAGTCATCATTTGACTAAATCTCAGTATTAAACTCTTCCATTTGCAAAGGAATCTTCTCCTTTTTGGTCAATGTTGGAATTTCATTAGATGCAGCATCTTTTGTAATATGTAAATTCGGCTGAAAAGACTCTAAGTATGGCTTTCCTACCTCCTGAGGTGAAGCACTAAGTCTCTCCTTATGTTTGTGTTGTGTTATAGAGGAATGTTCTTATTCCATCATCCTTTGAATAAAAAGCATTCTGTTCCATTCCATAATTCTTTGAAACAGGATCTTGTTGTACAGCGTCAGACTTGTGGTCTTTTCACCTCTGCCTCCAAAGAGCTGGTGTTACAAGAGTTTGCCACTGTGCCTGTCACTGTATTCTCGTTTTCTCTCTTAATCTATTTTGGAGACCAGGTCTGGTCTTAAATTCACTTTGTAGCCAAGGGTGATCTTGAACTTGGAACCCTCCTATCTCTAGCACAGGTTGGCTTTCTTTTATCTTAAAAGTTGTAATGTACTTTAAAAAAAAAAAAAAGGCAGAGGAGATGGCTTAATTAGTAAAGCATCTGCTACACAAGCATGGAGACCTGAGTTCAGCTCCCCAGCGTCTGTCTTGCTGTCTGGAGCAGCTCTGGGATCTCCGTGCTGCGGACTGAGGGAGACAGAGTCCTCGCAGCCATTGTTCAGCTGGACCAGCCAAACTGATGAGATCCAGGTTCCGAGAGAGAGCCTGTCTGGAAAATTAAGGTTGCAAGTGATTAAAGAAGAGACCCGACACCCAGACGCTGGCTCCATGCATGCACACACGGAGCCACCCCCACGTACATGTGTGCACATTCACATTACACGCACTTTAAAAAGAAAGTAAATGGTTGCGAAAATAATACCGCATGTTTAGATTCAGACTAGAGATGGCCGTCATTTCTAAAACTTCCATCTGTCCCTTTCAAAATGCACTGAATTCAGGACTGGAGAAGTGGTTGAGGGATTAAGAACACCGGTTGTGTTTCCTCAGGACCTGGGTTCAATTCCTATCACCCACATAGCAGCTGTCTGTAATCTCAATTCCAGGGGGTAAGGCCTCTGAGGGTACTGCATGTATGTGGTATATAGACATATATGCAGGCAAAACACCCAACCTAATCACATTAAAGGAAGACTGCGGGGCGCCGCCTCGCCGATAAGGAGAACGCCACACTCAGGATTCTTCTGACAGCAGTTTATTGTTACAGCTCTTTTAGATGGCAGTGAGGTGAGGGACGCCAAGCCCCAAAAACCTGTGGCTTATATAGAGCTTTAGGAGACGTGCCACACACTCATTGGCTCTTATGATATCGCCAAATTAGCATACTGGGTTTCGCGCCTTGCACAGGCGCACATTCAAGCAAGGCTCGCAAGAAGAACCAGGAAGCAGGAAACTGGCGCCATGTTGCAATGGCGAACGCGGCTCCTAACAGAAGACAAAATACAAAATTCATTGAATTAGACATCAAACAGATGAAAGGAGTTAAGCACAGTGGTAATTTTCTCTGGATTCATCTTCTAGGGTCTAAGTCCCCTCTCTCTCTTCTATCTTTCTTTCTATCTATCTATCTATCTATCTATCCATCATCCATCTAGGGTCTCTCTATTTTGTAGCTCTACCTGTCCTGGACACACCAGGCTAACCTGGGACTCACAGATTGTTTGCTTCTTCCCCCCAGAGCAGGAATGGAAGGCATGAGCCACCACAACCACAGCCAATTGTAAATCCAGTTTCTCAACAAAGCAGCCTCGAAAACTGCCTCCGAGAGTTTCTTATAGTGCGGTGTGCTTTATGCTAAGTTTACATTTAAGTTTTAGTTGTTCTCTAGTCTCTCCAGTTTTTATCCTGAGCCTTAATAATGGACGCCGAAATCATGTAATAAGCCCACGTAACACTGGTCTGCCAGACAACTGGAATGACAGAGGTTGTGAGACTGACTGGGAGCTGGGACTGGAGCTCCCCTCCTCTGGAAGAGTAGCCAGCGCTTTTTTGTTGTTGTTGTTTTGGTTTTTTGGGGTTTTTTTGTTTTTCGAGACAGGGTTTCTCTGTGTAGCCCTGGCTGTCCTGGAACTCACTCTGTAGACCAGGCTGGCCTTGAACTCAGAAACCCGCCTGCCTCTGCCTCCCAAGTGCTGGGATTAAAGGCGTGTGCCACCACCGCCCAGTTTAGCCAGTGCTCTTAATTGCTGAGCCACCTCTCCAGCCCCTGAATTCTTTAAAAAAAAAAAAAAAAAGCAGGACGGTTGTGTAAGTGAAATCGAATACTTGTTATTGCCTAAAAAACGGCACGTTTCTCATTACTGAGCAGTATGTAATCTTGATCTTAAAGATGAGGCGGTACCAGCAGAAAAGTGGCTTTTTCCTTTTTGTGATCAAGAAGGAATTTGTGTGTGTGTGGGGGGAGAGGAGCATTCTTTAATTCTGTGTGTGTTTATATGTATCTTTACTTAACTTTACCTATCTGTGTAACTTTACCCCCATCAAACTTTAACCCGGTGATCTTAACAATCATTAAAGGTTCCTAACAAAGCCGCTCTCACTGTGACCTTGCAAATGTTTTCAAGTTGTTATTCTGTCTACATTTTATTACAGGGTACTTTATCAGAAGGAAACTTTTTCCTTCTTCCTCGATGATCTTCCCTCTACCTCCAGCTCCCAAGTCATATTACCTTTTAGGCAGAAAACAAAACAACAAAAACCAAAAAAGCCTTTATAAACTGTATAGCATTCTAATTCAGGACATTCTAATTGGAGTGTGGGGCCTAGCGACCCTGTGCTCATTTCTTTGGCGTGGGGCTTCCAGCTTTGTGCTTGAGTGATCTATACACGTTCTCAAAGACCCTGGCCTGGGATCCTGGCCGGTTCAGTAGGCAGCTCCATCCCAGTGTGTTCCACAGCTCGGCGAGGCAAGGCCTTTGGTCTTTAAGCTTCATCTACGGATCACAAAATTCATTTCGGCCGTTCAGTTTATTATTCCAGCCGTTATTTAACGAGTGCAAGTGCCCTGATAGAGGAAAGTGGGTTAAGGCCTGCAGGAATCGGGGAAACTGGAGGCTGGGAAACAAAACGTGCCAGTTCTCGGTCTCAGTCCACGCGCTGCGGGGCGGGTGCGGTGGGGGGCGGGGACAGGGGCCCTCGGGCGCCGCCCGCCGCGGGTGCTTAGTCACGGCGACGCTGCACCCCGCTCCCCCGCGCGCACTTCCGCGCATGGCGCTGCTGCCCCGGGCGCTGGGCGTGGGCGCGGCCTGGAGCCTGCGGCGGGCAGCGAGCGCGCTCACCTGCGCCATGGCGAGTCCCCGCGAGCCGCAGCCCCCGGCCACCGCCGCCGCTTCCTACGACTACCTGGTGATCGGCGGCGGCTCGGGCGGGCTGGCCAGCGCGCGGCGGGCGGCGGAGCTCGGCGCCAGGGCCGCGGTGGTGGAGAGTCACAAGCTGGGTGGCACTTGCGTGAGTACCGGGGCCCTCGGGCCGCGTCGGCTGCGCGCTTTCTCCCGGCCTCTGCGCGCGGCGCCCGGGGTACTTCCCCACTCCCAAGCCCCGGTCCCTGGAGATGGCGGGAAAGAGGGTGACGCGACCGAGCCACCCACTCAGCACAGGTGCAATGCTAAAGCCAAAAAAACTTCAGCCAGGCTTAGCTGCTCAGCGTGCAACTCCATGTGGGGGAGTATCGCATCCGGCGCTGGAGCTGGGGAAACCTGAAACTGCCCCTGGGGAACTAGTGGCTTAGCAGTGGAGGGTTCTGGCATGGAGGAGTGTGTGTGTGTGTGTGTGTGTGTGTGTGTGTGTGTGTGTGTGTGTGTGTGTGTGTGTGGTCGGGTCTGATCTTATATTTCAAGGGCAAAGGGATAGGTAACAGCAGTTCTCAACTTTGGCTGCGCCATGGAACCCCCTGGGAGTTGAAGTTCTGCTGTCCCCACTCGTCCAGGGCTCCCAATGGTACCTGGTACCTGGAGGTACAGCGTTGGGGGTTAGCAAGCTCAGAAACACGCAGTTGATCCCAGCTGCACCCAAGGCTGAGAACTACAAGTTACCTCCAAAGAGAAACCTTAAGGGGTTTCTGAGAGCTTCATGATGCCGTTTGTTGTGGATTGTTTTGGGGATAGGTTTTCAAATTACACAAAAAGGAAAAGAGAAGGGTGGTAAATCTTACAATGGAAAGACTTAGGACTTTTAAGACTGTCTCATATCCACATTAGTGTGGTCTTTTCCCATCACGAGATCTAGGCAGAGTTCTGGTTGGTGATTGAAAACGCTGAACCTCAGAATTCACCTGGGACCGGGGATAGGTTCTCTCAATGCCTTTGAAGGCGTTTAAATTGTACTAAATTGGGAACTCCTTAGGGGCATGGGCGGGTTCCTGTGTTTGTGTACTGCTTGTTACCTTAAAATACCTTGCTTAACAGGTATTGGTGAATGAAGTTAGCGATGAGTAGCTGTGAGCATGCTCAAGTCACGGTAGAAAATGAACGGTGTGTGTGTGTGTGTGTGTGTGTGTGTGTGTGTGTGTGTGTAGAAAGGAAAAGGCATTGTTAATGATTGGCTTGCACTTTGACCCTAGTCTAGAAAGACTAGAAATCTCTGCAGAAGGCAGAGGAAATGAACGTTTGTCAGTTCTCAGCTCTGCACTTCTTTCTAGGCTTCAGTTTTCCTCCCTCCTTGTCACATCACCACAGATTTGTGACACCAACTGTCACTGTTGGTTTTCTACTGGCATTAATCAAGAAGGGGCTGGCCGGGGTTTGATGTCTGAGTTGGAGGCCAGCCTTGTTTATACAGCAAGTTCTACGACAGCTAGGGCTACACAGAGAAATCCTGTCTCTGCGGTTAAAAAAAAAATGAAGACAAACTTCTGAGAGCAAGCAAAGGACAGCACAGAGTGACATTATTTGCTACAAGTGGTCCACCTGGCCCCGCGTGCCCAGTTCATTCTGCAGGAGCGGCCATTTCCTTTCAAGCGTCGATGTCTTTGAGATGCCCTTTGCTGTTTTAGTGGCGTAACTTTGGGGACTTCCTCAAAGTAGCTTTGGGCTCTGAATGACAAGGGTAGGGGGCTGCAGCCAGTATGAGGGGAAATGTAACCCAAAGGTCTTAGTGGGGTTAGATTTGCCCAAGAGTTGTAGTATCATGGTCTGTCCAGAGTTGGAAAAGTGAACTTATTATGGGAAGTAATTTCCAAGCACTTGCAGGGGAACCTGAAACTGATCCTTTGTTCATGTTTTTGGGTTCTTGTGTGAATCTGACAGAAGGAAGGGGTTAGATGGAAATATGTTTCTACAGAGGCTTTCAAGGAACTTGCAGTATAATGGGGAGACCAAATACGGTCAGCCAGGAAGTGGGGTTGGTCTGTCCGTCTGTCTTTTTTTTTTTTTCAGTGTTTATTTGTATGAGTGCTTGCATGAATGTCTGTCTGTACCACATGCATGCCTGGTGCCTAAAGAGGCCAGAAGAGGGCATCATGGGATCCCCTGGAGCTGGAGATATAGACAGTTGTTAGCTGCCATGTGGGTGCTGGGAATCCAGCCCAAGTCCCCCAGGAACAGTGGCTGCTGCTCTAACCACTGGGCTGTCTCTGCAACTGAGGACTGTCTAAATTCTTTCAGGTAATGACTGACTGCTCAAAGTAAAGTAGTTTAGATTAGTGTTGATTTTCACATTCCTTACTGAGGGCTGATGGCTGAGTTCAAGGCCAGCCTGAATTACAATCTAAGCTCCGTCCCTGTACATAAAAGAACTCCTTAGTGTTATTTCCACGTGGTAGGATTATATTTGTTTTTAGTCAGTTGTTCACTGAGGATTATTGGAAATCTATGTATCAAGTGCTTTTTATAAAGATTTGTTTTGGAGCCTGGAGAGATGGCACTTGGCTGCTCTTGCAGGTGACTGGCGTTCAGTTCCCAGCAACCACATGGTGGCTCATAACTGTCTTTAATTCCAATTCCAGGGGCTCCAATAGCTTCTTTTAACCTCCTCGGGCACTGAGAACACTCATGGTACACAAACATACTTGCGGGCAAAACACATACACACAGCACACACATGTATAAATCTTTTTAAATTTTTTATTATTTATTTATTTATTTATTTATTTACATATGTTTGGTTTTTAGAGACAGGGTTTCTCTGTGTAGCCCTGGCTGTCCTGGAACTCACTCTGTAGACCAGGCTGGGTTCAAACTCAGAAATCCGGCTGCCTCTGCCTCCCAAGTGCTGGGATCAAAGATGTGCACCATCACTGCCCGGCTAAATTTTTATTTTTATTACGTGTGTATGTGTGTGTTGAGGCGTGTGCATGTAAGTGTAGGTGGCCACAGAGGCGAGAGTCAGATGCCCCTGGAGCTAGGATTACAGGCCGTTGTGAGCTGTCCATCCTGGCTTCTGGCATCTGTACTCTGGTCTTCAGCAAGAGCAGTACCTGTTCTAAACCGATGAGCTATCTCTCCGGCAACCCCGCTTCCCCTGATGTTTATAGATGCTAGAAGGGATCACTGCAGCCAGCAACAGATAAAATCCCTGTCTTTGGGAGCGGGCATTTTAGTTGCTATCTGTAGTTTCTAAAATTTCCATTACTATTTTTTATGATGAATATAGAAAGATCTGTTGTGGGAGCTGGTGGTGGTGGTGGTGGTGGGCTTTTTTGTTGTTGTTGTTGTTGTTGTTAATATTTTGAATCATGCTCATAAAGCTGGAATTGATTCTGGAGATTTATCAATCCTGTATGACTACACTTTATCAAAAAGAAGAGTAATAATAGAAGCACCGGTAGTTACCTGCAGTTCTGGCTGACCTAGGTCTTTCTATATTGACTAGGCTGGCTTCACACTCAGATCTGCCTGGTCCTGCCTCCCGAGTGCTAGGATTGACAGTATCTAGGCTGGCCTTAAAAGCACTATGTAGCTGAGGATGACCTCAAATTTCTGATCTTCCTGTGTCTGCCTCCCAGGTTTTGGATTATAGACGGGCATCACCATTTCCGACTTGGGTGATGCTGGGTGTGAGGCCAGGGTTTTGTACATCCTAGGCAAGCATGCTACCTACCAACTGAAGCCTGACTTTATTTATTTATTTATTTATTTATTTATTTATTTATTTATTTATTTTGTAAAGACCACTGAGAAGGTACTGACATTGTCACTAGCAGTTTCATAGAGACTTTGATTTTACTACATTTATTTATTTATTTATTTTGGGGTAGGGACTATGCATGTCAGGGTATGTTGTGTGGAAATCAGGGGACAGCTTATGGGAGTCAGTCCTCTCTTCTACCGTGTGGGTCCTGAGGATTGAACTCAAGTTGTCAGGCTTGGTGGCAAGTGCCTTTATTCACTGAGCCCTATTGGCAGCCCCAAATAAAACTGGTATTATTATCTTCTTCTTCTTCTTCTTCTTCTTCTTCTTCTTCTTCTTCTTCTTCTTCTTCTTCTTCTTCTCCTCTTCCTCCTCCTCCTCCTCTTCTTCCTCCTCCTCCTCTTCTTCCTTCTCCTCCTCCTCTTCCTCCCTTCCTTCTTTCCTTCCTTCCTTCCCTCCTCCTCCTCTTCTTCCTCTTGTTCCTCCTCCTTCTTCTTCCTCCTTCTCCTTTTCCTCCTCCTCCTCCTCCTCCTCCTCATTCTACTTCTCAGAAATCCGCCTGCCTCTGCCACCCAAGTGCTAGGATTAAAGGCATGCGCCACCACTGCCCAGCTCTTCTGCTTCGTATTACAGGAAATTGAACTCAAGCCTTGTATGTTCTAAGTATGTGCTCTGCTCCTGAGCTATACCTCAGAGCCTTAGCAACAGGATGTATTTTGATGAAATGGCAAACAGGTTGTCCTTTGAAGACCCCTGGCTTTCTAAAACACTGCTTGGGCCTCTGTATTTTTGTTTTGCATAAATCCTAATAGAAAGTCAGGGAGCATCATTTTGTTTAATCCCTTTGGATTAATCCTTAGGAGCAGAATATCAGCCAACCCTTGAGGACACCCAAGTAAGTGTGCTGCAGCCCATGAGCAGGCCACGAGAACGATGGCTTCAGTACTGCATCGCATGGGGTGATCTGTGACCTGTGATGCCATAAAGGGTTTTAAGCATTGTCCTCCAACAGAAGGGAAGAGCCTCCTCACCCCAATTAGGAACCAGGTATTATTATTCTAAACTCATGAGGTCTGAGGTGTACCCCTGCAGTAGCTCTTGCCTGACGTCTATGAGACCCTGGGAACGCCCGAAACAGATACACATACAGCAAACCATAACACTCTTAATTAGGGCTCCCACACCGAGTCTTCACCCCAGAGCACCGGATTTAGGATTTCAGAAGTAAAACCTTACAGATAGAATTTTCAAAAGCTGCAGGCACATTTTTTGTGGGTGAGTCAGACACAAAGCCAGGCTGTTGTCGGAATAAGGACTAGGGAAGCTTGAGAAGGACTCCAGTGAACCGCTGACGGATTGGACGGAGGCAGCAGGTAGCTTTG